GATGGTAGAGGACCGGAAGGCCTGGAGGAACGTTGTCCATGGGGTCACAATGGGTCGGACATGACTTAGCAATTAACAACAACATGCAGTTCAACCTGGGTATTTTCAAAGCAGAAACATCTCTGAAAGTAGTCCAACTATTTCAGACAAGGCAGTATATTACCAGTTCTGTCATTGTTGGAAGCCTTGTGGAATCCGACAAGGAAATGTCTCTGAAAGAATGGCCCAAGAGGTCACTGGTTGTCTAGTAACAAACTAAAAGGGTAGCCAAGTTTAATGGATCATCTTGCAAAATTTTGCTAGCTTATCCCCCAGTGGCACACTTAGCTGTGGAAAGCTAATAAATAAATTGTCTGCAAAACATATGTAATGGCTTCCAGGCATGGGTGAAAAGGGCAATAGACAGAGAAGGAGGTGGCTGGATGGAGTCCCTGAAGCAGTACGCGTGAGCTTCAATGGACTCCAGAAGATGGTAGAGGACAGGAAGGCCTGGAGGAACGTTCTCCATGGGGTCGCGATGGGATGGACACGACTTCGCAACTAACAACAACATTTTCTAATAATTTTCACAGATAGTGGCATAGATTCCTTGGGATGTTCATGACTTCTTCCCAGGGACTGAAAGTCTTACACACTGTCACAAAAGTGCTTTTTCAAGAGGCAAGTTTACTTCCTGGTTTTTTCTTTGAAGACGTTTCGCTTCTCATCCAAGAAGCTTCTTCAGATCTGACCGGACGACTCAACGACTCTCTAAAAGGAGGCAAATGACCAGCCGTCTGCAAGGAGTATAAATCCTTCCATTTCCCCACCATCCAGACAGAGCTGAAGAAGCTTCTTGGATCAGAAGTGAAACGTCTTCAAAGAAAAATAAGAAAGTCTAGTTGCCTCTTGGAAAAAGCACCTTTGGGACCACCCGGACCTGGATGACTTGAGAATCTCCATAGACATTACACACTGTCATTTCACTGTTTGTGTATCCGGTGCACTGTGGTTACTTACTTTTGTAGAGTACAATGTTTTTAACGATGTTTGTAAATAACTGGGTTGAACTTGTGTAAACGCAGCCTGGAGCTGAAGAGAATCCAATAAATGCATGCTGTTAAATAGCGTGGCCTACTGTTACACTTACTACTTACTGTTAAATAAAGGCTTACAACGCTGTCTACGGTTATGCATTTTTTAATTTTAATGTTGAAGATAATTTCGTTCAAACCAGGCCTACTGAAAGATAAAAGGGCACTTCCCTTCTCCACTGTTACCAATTATCCTCTTGGTGCAAATAGACTCGGTGCCCGAATGTGTGTAAAAATATACATTTAACTAATGGCTTCAGGAGGAAAGAAATTTTTAAAACTTTCTCCCGTTCTGAACTGGCCTCCCCTAGGTTCAGAATGGAAACGCCTTCATCTTTTAATAAAATGCTTTCCAAAAATTGCTTTTCCATTAAAGGCAGAATGCAGAATCGTAAGTCCAGATGTAAACAGATCTTTTTCTTCTTTTCTTCCTTCATAATAATAATAATAATAATAATAATAATAATAATAATGATGATGATGATGATGATGATGATGTTGGAAGGGACCTTGGAGGTCTTCTAGTCCAACCCCCTGCTCAGGCAGGAAACCCTATACCATTTCGGACAAATGACTGTCCAGTCTCTTCTTAAAAACTTCCAGTGTTGGAGCATTCACCGCTTCTCTCTTTTCTTTCTTCCTCCCTTCATTTTTTTCCTTCTTTCCTTCCTTTTCTTTCTTTCTGCATCACATTTTGGTTTAAAATATGGAGCAAGGATGGTGCTGTCCCTTTTCTTTTTCTCTTTCTTTCCTTTTTTTTTCTTTTTCTCTTCTTTGTCTTTCTTTCTTTCTTCCTTTCTTTCTTTCCTTCTTTCTTTCTCTCTTTTTCTTTCTTTCTTTCTTTCTTTTCTTTCTATAACAATCATACACGTCAATATATTCTTTTTTTTTGCCATTTACTGAACAAATAAAAGCTTTGGGAATGGTTTTGACTGAAGAAAATAGCACAGCTTAAAAGGTTTCCTAATTTTGCTCGTTGATTTAGCGCTATAGAGAGACTACACAGAACTCTCCCCCCCCCCCATCATCATCATCCCAATAAGAACCCAGAGATTTAGCTTGGGCTGAAAGCAATCAGTCCAAAGTCACCTTCCATCGCTGAGGGTAGAGTACCCAGTCACCACTCAATACCTTGATTGTTACATCATAGGAACATTCCTACTTTAGTTCTGCTGAGTCCAAGTGATGCTCCAGTTAAGATATGTCCGTATGTGGTTATTATCATCAAAAAGGCAGGAGATTCTGAAACTACTTCCAAGGTGGTGGCTGCTTACCATTTTTTAAGATGATGTCTAGTTTCACCTTCAGGGCTGAAATTATCCAGCCAAACTAGACCTCATTTTCTTCTTCTTCTTGTGCCATATCCGTTATCGGACGTTGGCGATCATGTTGGCGATCCTGTTTTTATCAGAAGCCACATGAAAAAGTGCTGCTGAGTTTTGTCCAAACCAGTCCCTTAGATTTTGAAGCCAAGATGTTCTTCTTCTGCCTGGACCTCGTTGGCCTTCAATCTTTCCCTGGAGGATTCAATGGAGTATGCTGTAATTTTTCTGGGTGTCGCATCACCTGTCTGAAATATTCTAACTTTCGTTTTTTAATTGTTTTGATGATTTCCCTGGGCTTTCCCAGGCAGCTTATCACCTCCTCATTTCTGATCTTGTCAACCCAGCTTATACGTAACAGCCGCCTGTAAATAGACCTCATTGGAGACATGGAAAGTACCAGGTTAGCAAACTTGGGTTTTCAAAATCACGACAAAAAGCCACCGCATTTGAACTTTCAAAACAATGTTTATTAAGCTTTCCATCATCCTCTTGACACCCCGATACACCTGAATGTTTCGTTCCAACTGGAAAGGATCTTGGTCAGATCTTAAAAATTTCAGATCTGGCCTTTCATTAACCCAGCAGGACAAAGACAGAAGGACTTGGCGGTATCTGAAGAACGGACAGAAAGAGCTACGAGGAAGGTGGAGGTTATTGGGGAGAAATTGAGAACCTGGCAGAGACTAAGACCCACGTTTGCGTGGCAACGTTTAGCATTTGCAACAAAAAAGGAAGGGGGCTCTATTCTCCACGGTCTGAAGGTTGCGCTTTGATCTTCTTAACAGCGTCAAGGACAGCATCCCGGCTAACTTTGTCTCCAAATTCCTTCTCACGGTGTTCCAGGAGAAGCCCCTAAAAAAGAAACAAGCGCTCAGGAACAGGGTTGTCTCCAAAAACTACAATCAGAAAACTTTTAACATTCTCCACAATTTACCTAGTTCTCCCCCCTTCTGGGCTTAGGAAGAATTTTATACCAAGATGTTCAAAAAATTTAAATCATCAATATTATCAACTTCCAGTTCTCCATGTTCAATTTTACAAAATGAAACAGGAATCCCGGTTTCAGAGGTTCCTCATTCATAACCTTCTGCGACACAAGAAACAGGATTGTATCTCCAAAATAACATCTAAAAGAAGTGAAGAGAGAGAGAGAGAGAGAGAAAGGGAGACAGACAGAGATAGAGATAGAGAGCAAGAAAGGGGGAAGGAGATAGAGAACAAGAGAGAGGAAGAGGGAGAGAGAGAAAGAGGTGAAAAAAGAAAGATAGCAAGAGGAAGACAGAGAAAGAGAGAGGGAGAGAGAGAAAGAGAAGGAGAAAAAGTGAAAGATAGCAAGAGGGAGACAGAGAAAGAGAGAGAAAGAGAGGGAGAAAAGCAAGGAGAGACAGAAAGAGAAGCAGAAAGAGAGAGAGAGAGAGAGAAAGAGAGAGAGAGAGAGAGAGAGAGGAAAGAAGAGAAAGAAAGAAAGAGGGAAGAGAAAGAGGAGACAGAAAGAGAATGAGAGAGAGAAAAGGAAGAGAAATAGAAGAAGAGGAAGGGAGGGAGAAAGAGGAGAGAGAGAGAGAAGGAAAGAGAAAGAGGAGACAGAAAGAATGAGGGAGAGAGAAGGGAGAGAAATAGAAGAAGAGAGAGAGGGAGACAGAAAGAGGAGAGAGAGAAATAGAGGGAAATAGAGAAAGAAAGACAAGGAAAGAGAGGGAGATAGAGAAGGAAAGAATGAGGAGAGAGAGGAAGAAAAGGAGAGCAAGAGGGAAATATAGAAAGAGAAAAAAAAAAGAGAGAGAGAGAGAGAGAGAGAGAGAGAAAGAGAAATCCTTCAGTTTGGAAGAGAAAGCCAATTGCTAAGCTCCTTTCATGGGCTGAAAGCTGCAGAGAACTGAGACTCCCAGGCCATAGGGACAGAAGACCTAGTAACACCTGCCTTTCCCAGCCACACCTGTCCGCTCTCTACCTGTCTCCCTGGGCCGATGACGAACACCCCTCCCAGGATCACGCCTTCTCCATCCAAGTTGCCGGTGTAGCCGCTCCTCCAAGCACGCCAGAAGTTCCTCCAGACGTTCCAGCGGAAAATGGCCAGAAACAGCATCTTCCTTTTTTGAGGGCCGTAGAATTTCCTCTGGGGAAGAAAAAAAAAAAATGGGATGAGAGGAACTCAGCGGTAAAAACCAGACCGGGAGTCTCCACCTTAGGGAAGATCCACTGAACACGATCACATTAAGCCAAGAATGGCTGATCTTGGAGAAGAAGAAAAAGAAAGAAAGAAAGAAACGGGTTCGAACCACATCTTTAAGTCAATTTTCACGTTGATGTTTATTGTTTTTATGTTTTATCTTGCTGCTTTGATTTGGATGTAAGCCGTCTGGTCTCCTCTAGCCAAGATGCGCGGCAGACAAATTTAAAAATAATTAGTCAAGGAATAAGGGCTGGGTATTTAACCATCTGCTCCCTTCTTTTCCATCTTTGCACCATTTCCTTTCCTAAATTAGATGGCTCAAAGATTAGAATAGAATAGAAGCTGGAAGGGACCTTGGAGGTCTTCTAGTCCAGCCCCCTGCTCAAGCAGGAGAACATATACCATTTCAGACAGGTGACTGTCTAGCCACTTCTTAAAAATCTCCAGTGATGGAGCGCCCACGATTCCTGGTGGCAAGCTGTTCCACTGGTTAATTGTCCTCGCTGTTAGGAAGTTTCTCCTTCATTCCAGGTTGCTTCTCTCTCTTTGATTAGTTTCCAACCCTTGTTTCTCATCCTGCCCTCTGGTGCTTTGGAGAATATTGTCACCCAGAACTGCAAAAAACCTCAACGTTTTAATTCACGCCACAGGGAGGCCTTTTCCAAGCATACAGAAAAACTTTATTCCCAAAGACCAGCATTTGCCAGGGGAACAAATGAACTGAACAACGTAGGTTTTAGCCCATCTCCCCCCAAACAGCGCAAGCAAGGATAATTTTATGCTTCAATGGGTCATCTCCTCCTCCTTAATCCATCTTGTGATTCCTCGTCAGCCAGTGGATCTGGCAGCTGAGTCTGGGGAATCAGAGGAGGGGGAGGAGGGGCCTGGAGTGACACCAGAGTCAGAGGAAGGCTCTGATGAGCTCCAAGACTTACAGTCTGACGAGGAGCCTGGCCCCTCTACTCGTGCTCAGGCTGAGACACAGCTGTGCTGGGAGGCTGGGAGGACTCACAGCTGGAAGACGTCATAGATGCTCCCAAACGCCGACAGGCAACAAGAGTTGGACAGAGGAATGCAATGGGGCGGCTCCAAAGGCAAAGGAGAAGGCATTAGGAAGTCACGCCTTTGGGGCTGCATAATAAAAGGGAAGGTATGAGAGGTGCTGGTTGCTGAAGGCAACCGTTTGTGTTAAGGAATCAAGTTTCACTGAATCGTGTTTTGTTTGCTTTTGCCTTTGGACAATTTTCCATTTGGAAGAAATCAAGTTTCATCAAATTGTCTTTTGTTTGCCTTTGCCTTGGGACATTTTGCAGGTCTGTGAATAACAATAAAAGGGGAATCGGTTTTTTCCTGCGGTTCCAGCCTGCTTGTTGGAAGAGGGGTTTCTCCTTGTGAGTTTAACAAGGACTCACATCGGCTGGGACAGAACAAATCCATTTCAAAAAATCCCGCCTACCTTTTCATCCAGAAATATTTCCCCCTTGAAATAGGGCTGAAAGTCGGCCACCTCCGTCCCAAGGCTCTCTTTCACAACAGCATAAAGCGGCACCCCAACCTGATCCAGCTGGGGTTTCAGAGAGGACAGCTCAGAGGCCTCCTACAGATGAAAGGACGAGTAAAATAAGATAAGTTAAGATAATCTTTATTTTTTACTGTGGGCACAACGGCACAGTAAATTAAATTTAGTTGCCCGCTCTCAAAGTGAAACACATACATGACACACACCTAAACATACTACGTACAACATATGTATAGACCCACACCCCTACATATACAGTACGTAGCAAATAAATATTAAATACTGTCCATCTTGAATATATAACGGAAGGAGGAAGCTTGAGAATTCACAAGGTTGATGCTGTAGGGATTGAAACTGTGGCTGAATCTGGATGTTCTGCTACGGATACTACAAAGCCCCCTCCTCCCAGAAGGGAACAAGGAAAACAGGTTGTGAAGAGGATGTGTCGTGTCCCAGATAATCTTGCAGACCCTGCTCAAGCAACGCTTCTGTGCCATGTCCTGGATGGGAGGGAGGGAACTGCCAATGATCTTTTCTGCCGTCCTCACCACTCTCAGCACCGCCTTCCTCTCTATTAAAAAGAGGTTGCTAAGTGAGACATTTCTTCAGTGAATTTCGCTCTATTTTACAACCTTCCTTGCCTGGGTGGTGGAACTTAAGCAATTAAGAGGACGACAAATTGTTGAGAAAAAAAAAAGGATTGTAACCCATAAATGGAAATAACCGCAGGAGGGCGACTAGCATCAGAAGAAGATGCAATTAGGATTAATAGGAGCTTATTTGAATACTTACTCTAATTACATGAATTTAAGTGGTTTATAGAGTCAGCCTATCTCCCCCAACAATCTGGGTCCTCATTTTACCGACCTCGCAAGGATGAAAGGTTGAGTCAACCTTGAGCTGGTCAGGATTGAACTCCAGGCAGTGGGCAGAGTCAGCCTGCAATACTGCTTTCTAACCACTGCGCCACCATGTCTCCAATCTTAAGCCGGTCAGGATCGAACTCCTGGCAGTGAGCAGTGAGTTAGCCTGCAATACTGCATTCTAACCACTGCGCCACCACGGCTCCAATCTTAAACCGGTCAGGATCGAACTCCTGGCAGTAGGCAGTGAGTTAGCCTGCAATATTGCCTTCTAACCACTGTGCCATCACGGCTCCAATCTTAAGCCGGTCAGGATCGAACTCCTGGCAGTGAGCAGTGAGTTAGCCCGCAATGCTGCATTCTAACCACTGCGCCACCATGGCTCTTAATGGCTCTGCTCCTAGGAGAGTAGAGAATAGCCCACCTCTGTCCTTTCTGCACTTTGTCCCTCCCTCTCTATCCTGCCTTAGTTTTAATTGTATTTTTAATTTTAAGATCTTTATTGTTTTAATGTTTTATAAGGCATTTTAATCAATGTCTGTAGAGTCGCCTTTGGAGTATAAGTGTAATAAATAAAGACAAAACCACTACAACATTCCAGGTTTATAGGCTAGACTGTTCGTTCAAAAACAAAAAAACAAAAAACCAAAAAAATCTTGGGAAAAGGCAGTAGCAGAAAATTACACCGATGCGTTCGTGAATTCACCCGAAGCGCAGCACGACTCAAAAGGAATTTTACTTCGAATTCCTAAGCAGAATCTAAAAAAAACCATAAGATATTTTCCTTTCCAGCTGCCCAGATAAATCCCATATCTACTAGAATCTCCTTGGGGCTGTGAGCAAGCAATGGGCACGTAAGGAAGTATTCCTAAAAACTGTTCTAGGCTTGTCTTGCCTTAATTCTTTTTAAGACCGAGCATTTGTAGTTGGGGGTTAACAACTTCAGGTTGCTTCGAGGGATTCATGCTCTTAAACACACACACACAAAGAGCAATAAACATATAAACCTCCGCCCCCGTAGGAAAATCAGATTGCAGGAATGAGACTTGTGGCTTACAGCACATCTGATGCGTTATTTTTTCCAGGCAGAGGAAAACAGGTAAGAAAACATAAACAAATTGGCAAACAGGAGTCACTTAAAATACGAAGGGATGATATCTCAGTGTAAGATTCTGCTTCAACATCATGCTACGTTTGGGCTGCATCACCTAGATTGCTCTTGAAGGAAGACGTTTGCAAATCCCATCCTCGTGACAGAAATTCCTGGCCTTAGGAATCTGATTAATGCTCAACTTTTTATTGAATGGTAGAATCACAAGACAGAATCAGAATAGAGCTGGAATAGAATAGAGCTGGAGTAGAGTAGAGTAGAGTAGAGTAGAGTAGAGTAGAGTAGAGTAGAGTAGAGTAGAGTAGAGTAGAATCTGGAAGGGACCTTGGAGGTCTTCTAGTCTAGCCCCCTGCTCAAGCAGGAGAACCTATATCATTTCAGACAAGTGGCTGTCCAGTCTCTTCTTAAAATTCTCCAGTGATGGAGCGCCCACGATTTCTGAAGGCAACTTCTGTCCCACTGGTTAATTGTCTTCACTGTTAGGAAGTTTCTCCTTAATTCCAGGTTGCTTCTCTCCTTGATTAGTTTCCATCCATTGTTTCTTGTCCTGCCCTCTGGTGCTTTGGAGAATAGTTAGATGCCTTCTTCTTTGTGGCAGCCCCTCAAATACTGGAATACTGCTATCATGACCCTCCCTAGTCCTTCTTTTCTCTAGACTGGCCATTCCCAAATCCTGCAACCGTTCTTCATATGTTTTCGTCTCCGGGTCTTTAATCGTCTTAGTTCTGGAAGGGACCTTGGAGATCTTCTAGTCTAACTCCTGCCCAAGGCAGGTCCTTGTTTCGTCCTGGACAAATGCTGTCCAATCTCTTCTTTAAAAACTTCCAGTGATGGAACATCCACAACTCTGGGAGGCAAACTGTTCTACAGTCGTTCTGTGAAGAAAGTTTTCCTTGCTTTAAGATTGTATCTCTCTTTAACAAGGTTCCACCCGTTGCTTCTTGTCCTGCCTTCAGGTGCCTTGCAGAAAACGTTAATCCCCTCTTCCCTGTGGCAGCTCTTCCAGGGATTATCCAGGACTGCCTCTCTTTGTGAGCCTGCACCAGTAACTCCAGCTAAGCCAGTTCAAACCAGTCCTCCTGCTGGAGAGCTGGCCTGTTTCCAGTTTAATCAGCTGCTACCGTATCTCTGCTAAGCTGCACAGTTCCTTCTTTTGGGTTCCACGTTTTCAAACCCCTGTTCTCCGCCTTTTGTGCTCCTAGAGATTAAAGCCTTTTGTTCTTTGTCATTTTATTTTATTTTCCGTCCAATTTCCCTGTTCCTGCCTGTTGTCCCTGTTTCAAATGTAGATTTAGACATGCTTAAAAGCTTTGTTCTCCTGTGTTCATTTTTGGTTCGCTGCCCAAAGGATTGGCAGTTTAAGGAACACAGGATGCAATGGTAGGCTTGAAACCAGAGAAAGATTTGCATCCTAACTAACTGAACATTCCTCCATTCTCAGTTCAGGAGAACAAATCAAGTTCACAGAAGAATTGTAAATAAGAGAGAAACCATCTGCCTCAAACACCAGGAGATCGGCTGAGATTTCTGTAATCTTATTCTATCCTCTTCCAGTAAGTCTTACTAAGCTTATTACTGGAAGAACCTTGCTTTCTGTGTAGGCTTAACAGAATAAAAGCAGGCTTAACAGAATAAGAGTTGGAAGGGACCTTGGAGGTCTTCTAGTCCAACCCCCTGCTCAAGCAAGAGACCCTATCCTATTTCAGACAAAAGGCTGACCAATTTCTTCTTAAAAACCTCCAGTGGTGGAACAACCACAACTTCTGGAGGCAA